TAATATTATTTATATTCTTTTCACTGTTAATTGTTTTATTAAAGTTTGTTTTAAGTTGCAACCCATCAGTCTCTCTCCTTTTTCTCCTCTCCTTCCCCTTCTGGGAAAGGATGGGGTTAACAGAGAGCATCTGCCCAGCCTTAAATGATGATATATATGTATGTTTTTTTGGTTTCTTGGGTTTTTTTGTTTTTCTCACTGGTGGACTTCCATCCTGTCCAGGTGGAGAGGGGAGTAGGGTGAGGCTGTTGGCACTTTTTCTGTTTGTGTGAGTGCTCTGTGTGCTGGCCATGTATATATGTATATACATATGGTGTATATGTATGCTCTGTGTGTATGTGTGCCTACCGGGAATATATCGTCAGCCTTGCTACTGGCTGGACCTGGGGACGTGCAACTGCATCAACTTCATCTCACTTGTGCTGTCAGATCCAGCATGATGTGTTTACCTTTAACATAAAGATCTGTTCTAAGGAGTGGGTTTTTTTCCCTCTAAACAAATGTGGCAGTGCAGCTCATGGTCACTGTTCTGTATTCATGTTATGTCCAGTTAAGCTAGATCTTGCTCTAAGGCCTATATAGCATCCTAAAACATAATAATAATTATATACTCAAATTTAGTTTGCTTTTTGTTTTGGAATTTTTTGGGGCTCAAAGTGCTTGAACCACAACCCAGAAATATGTTTCAGACATGACATTGAATACAAATGTGCTGTTGTCCAAGACATATTGCAAGGGCATCTAGGAGCATTTGAGAGTGCAGCAAAAAGCTGGGATAGCTTTGCAAGATTGTTTCTAGGAAAAAGAGACAAAGCTTGTGTGATGTCAATCTTACTGCCAGTACAAAACTGAAAATGGAATGAACTTTTCTCAGAACTACACCAGGCTTCAGAGCATCCTACCTGAGAAGGGATTTGGATCATGAAGCATAAGTAATCCCAGGGAAGAGGCATTGGAGGCAAATCATACAGGTAGTTCAGCTGTCAAATTGTAGATATTGCCTAAGATGACTAATGTTAAAACACCTCAAAGCAGTGAGGTACATCTAGTAATTGCTGTCCTGTGCACTAGATAAAGAATAGCTTGTTTCCTAGACCAGATCTAGAGAAATCTGAGCTCCAGCCCCATTACTCCTTCTCTGATAAATGGAAGTTACTCTCCTTTTTGAAATTATATCAGCAGCTGTGGTGATTCATCTGACCTGTCTTGGACAACTGTCATGAGGTAAATTCTCCTTGCAGATAACTGTCTTCTCCCATTGAGTACAGGTAGGGTCTGGACAATGTGGGTAGACTTTTAGGCAGCTATGTTTAAGTAAGTGAGATGAATCCGATCTCCCTGCATTCAAATGTGCTACCCAGCACATCTCATGCCTGAAGAAAAAAAAAAACAGTGAAGAACCTTGTTTGCTTGCTTGCTTGTGTGCTTGCTCACTCACTCACCCTCTGCACTCCTAATTAAAGTGACTAAGGGTTTGCCAATCACATATTCAATTCTGACAGTTTTACTAAGCAAGATAGCTACCTGTTGCACCTCTGCAATCTTTGACAAGTCCTCAGGTGGGATTATTTGGTCTGAAGAGAGAGCAATACTTACTGAGCTTGATTTCATATTACTCTGTGGTAAACATCCAAAAGATATTTAAAACATTGTTCTATGAAAATAATTATTTCTTTGTGTTCAGTGCGAAAGCAGTTTAGGCAGCTAGCTAAGGTGAGGCTTGTACATTCCAAATACCGAAATATTGACAGGCAAATTACATCATTAAAGATGGAGATAAAAACCCCAGTGTCAGTGTATTTATATTGTGCATGGAGATTGAAGAAATATTTCTGATTTTCCAATAAGAACAAGTAACACTGAGGACAGACACCTTGCAGCTTCCACAATATTTATAAATATTTAAAAATATATGGAATATTCATGATTGAGTCAAAAAATGCAGAACATATAAATTCACAAGATACATGAAAATATTTTTGATTGTTTCTTAAAGAATGTAAGTACATATTCTGTTTAAAATTTTCCTCACTGACTTATAAGAAATATTGTTTGTTCAGATAAAAGCATTGTAATGAAATACTAATCTTTTATCATTATCAAAATAAAAAAAGTATTCCAGGAAATCAAGCAACAGTGAATAGAGAGCAGGTACATTGCACAAGAATAGAAGTCTTATTCAGTTAATTTCCAGGTATTTAATGTCTTAATTGATGCAAACATAGCCTAAGGTAGGAGAGACAAAGGTTGATCACTGACTTATTCAGAATTTAGCATTCCTCATTGAGTATGTGGAAACCTGGACAGCCTATTCTGGCAATTTTGTCATCACATTCATATTTTTAAGGTAAATGGGTTAGATATGAAGTGGGAAGTCAGTCAGAAAACACATTTTTACTTTGTTTTATTTTTACTGTGAGAATTCTCCTTAAGGCACTGCTTCCTTCCTTCTCTCCTTCCTTCCTTCCTTCTTTCCTTCTTTCCTTCCTTTCTTTCTTTCTTTCTTTCTTTCTTTCTTTCTCTTTCTTTCTTTCTTCCTTCCTTCCTTCCTTCCTTCCTTCCTTCCTTCCTTCCTTCCTTTCTTCCTTTCTTTCCTTTCTTTCCTTTCTTTCCTTTCTTTCGCTCTTTTGCTCTTTTACTCTTTCGCTCTTTCTTTCAGGTGGGGGTGTTGATTGACGAGAAGCTCAACGTCACCCAGCAATTTGCACTTGCAACCCAGAAAGCCAACTGCATGCTGGGTGGCATCACAAAAAGCATGATCAGTAGGTCGAGGGAGGCGATTCTCCCCTTCTACTCTGCTCTCTTGAGACCCCACCTGGAGTACTGTGTTTCAGTTCTGGGCCCCCCAGCACAAGAAGGACATGGACCTGTTGGAGAGGGTCCAGAAGAGGACCACAAGGCTCTCCTTGTGGGGGAAGGAGGCTGAGAGTGTTGGGAGTGACAGGCTGAGAGAGTTGGGGTTGTTGAGTCTGAAGAGAAGGTTCCAGGGAGACCTTAGAGCAACCTTAGAGGGGCCTACAAGAAAGCTGGGCAGGGACTTTTTACAAGGGCATGTAGTGACAGGACAAGGTGTAATGGCTTTAATCTGGAAGAGGGAAGATTTAGATTAGATATTGGGAAGAAATTCTTCACGCTAAGAGTAGTGAGGCACTGGAACAGGTTGCCCAGAGAAGCTGTGGATGACACATCCATGGCAGTGTTCAAGGCCAGGTTGGATGAGGCTTTGAGCAGCCTGGTCTAGTGGAAGGTGTCCCTGCCCATGACAAGGGGGCTGGAACTAGATGATCTTTAAGGTCCCTTCCAACCAAACTATTCTATGATTCTGTGATATCCACATTGCCAGTGTTAAGACACCTCATTCAGTCTGAATTCCTTCCACCTGGCCTTGGGACTGTCTTTCCCTGCGCTTATCTTTAGTCATTGACTGTAGAGTGACCTCTGCACTGTTGTCATCTTCTGTGAATAGCAGAGAGCAAGTGATTTTGCAGGGAAGAATCACCTAATGTGATGTAGGTGTCTTCTGGATCATATCATAAGTGGCTGCTTAGAAATGCTGTATCTTCATTTAATTAAATGGAAGCATAATATGATTCACCAAAATAAAGACAAAAATTATTATCCGTAGAGGACAATTTTTGAATAATCTGAAGGGCCTATCTAAGATGGCATGATGAGTTCTCCTATGGAGGGATCTGTCCCTCACCATTGATTAGAGAGCTTAAAGCCAGAGTTAGATGTGAGTTATGCACACGTTCTCTCCTCCTGCAAAGCGTTTTTCCTGTGCCTAGTCTGTGTAGTTTATTTCCACACCAAGTTTTTATCCCTAAAGGTAGGTGGCCCCAAGACCATGACTGGTTAAAAAACAACAGTTTAAAATAGATATGCAAGTGTTCTGCAGACCTTTCTTTACAGTTAGTTCCAGGAGTTAACAGGAGAACCAGAGAGAGTGTTTTGTCATACCTAAACAATGGGGAAAAAAGCCCTCACTCTTGCAATTGCAAGCAATCAATACCTAACAGACTATTTTCCACTGGAAAAATACTCAAGGTTTGTGATGTGACTTTTCCAAAAATATTAACCACAGCCTTCTCCTAATGGTAGGTAAGCTACCTTATTTTACTTCAGTCTTGTTTCTCTTCCATATCTTATTGTTCTTCCACCACCTGCACAGGACTTGTTTCTAAGAGACTCATCTATCTATGAAGCGAATGGATTATTGGAATAGGAAATAAATTCCAAGACATTTTGTATTCTTGAAAAGAACTACTCCTCCTGAAAAGTGCCTGGGACAAAGGTAATTTCCTGGAGAGTCATCCACATTCTTTAGTACTTTTTTGTATTGATTATTAATCAGAAGGGATTATAATGTTTGGGATTTTTCTCTCCGTGTGTCTGTGTCTGTGTGTGCATGTGCGCACAAGCGCATATGTGTGCTTTGGGTCTGGCTCTTTTCTTATTAACTGAATGTTATGTCCCCCATCTCATTCAAATTATATCAATTTAATCAGAGCAGCTATTTTAAATAGAAAATCTTCCGTGTCCTCTTCTATATATGTGTAAAGAAAAAAAAAACAACTTCAAAAAACCTCCCTGTAGTGTTTGAGTAAATTACAAGAGGAAAATAGCATGTGTACTATTCTGTAAAAAGTTTCATTTCATAGAATCATGGAACAGTTGAGATTGGCAGGATCTTGTGGAGATCGTCCGGTAAAAGGATGCCACTCAAATCAGAGTCAGCTAGAGTATTGCTAAAGGCCATGTCCCATCAGATTTTGAGTATCTCCAAAGATGAAGACTCCACAGACTCTCTGGGTAAGCTGTTCCAGCGCTTGACCAAACTCACCATACAACAACAACAACAATCAAACAAACAAATAAAAGTTATCTTATTTTTAAATAGAATTTCCTGTTTTTCTATTTGTACCTATTGCATCTTGTCTGTTCAAAGTATGCTGAACTTGAGCTAACCCTGAGTGGGGAGACAAAAGGTAGCATGTACTGTCAGTTGTACCTTTTTTTGCAGACTTGTACTACTCTTGTTTTTATGTGATGTGCAGGGGGGATAGAATTGAAGAAACATTCTAATCATGTGCAGTACTGTGGAATGTATGCAGGACTGTGTTCAGTTGATGATTCTATTCTAGAATTAATCCCATCCACAGAATAATAGCAAGAGGGACTCATTGCCAAAAACCCACTCTATCAACAAATTAATGATTTCTGGGTTTTAAGGACCAGCCTTCTTTGCTTGACAGCAGATGTTAGGGTAGCAGATCTTAGCTGGGTAATGGGAGAAAAGTCTATTTCAAAGACTGGGGCAGTAGAGTACAATCCTTATCCTAAAAGGCAGGAAGAATAAAATATTCCGTAGTCATAAAGAAGTCATATTTTCCTTTCCATTGACTAGAAGTGAATTATACTCATTTGGAAAAGTTGTTCTTACTTGTCAAAAGCTATGTGAAGAGACCTACATTCCCTCCCTCCTCTAAACAATCTTTGCCACTAAAAATAGCTAAACACAGCAGTAAAATATCACTTCCTCCTCTGGTATCTTCTCCTATTACAAAGTAATATACATAAATATTTTATTTACTTTTTGTATTTCTCTAAATTAACTAGAAAATGGATATGTCATGACTTCTGCAGTTAAAAAAAACCTGAGGGACATGACCAGCAGGAACCACACAGTGGTGACCTATTTCCAATTTTTACCTTTCTCCAACATTCCAGAGATCCAAGGCTCTCTCTTTTGTCTGGTATTACTCATGTCCCTCAGTACATTAGTGGGAAACATCCTCATCATTGTGATCACTATGGCAGATGCTGCCCTTCCCTCCCCCATATATTTTTTTCCTCAAGAACTTGTCCTTCCTGGAGATTGGCTATGCTACATCTACAATCCCCAAGATGCTGGTGAACTTCCTCACAAAAAGGAAGGGCATATCTTTTCTGGGCGATGCCATACAGATGTATGCCTTCTCCCTCTTAGGGATCATGGAACGTTCTCTGCTGGCTGCCAGGGTTATGATCACTTCTATGATCGCTATGTAGCCATATGCGATCCACTGTGCTACATGACCATGATGAGATGGAACACGTGCTTCCTGCTTTCAGCTGTACCTTGGTTTATTCGGGTCTTGGTGGCCCTAGGGCAGATCATTTTCATCTTTACCCTTCCATATTGTGGGTCCAACAGGATCAATCACTTCTTCTGCAACCTGCAGACTCTTCTGAACCTGGCTCGTGTGGGCACCTACAGGAATGAAATCACCACCTACGTAATAGCTGTCCCCTGTATCATGGTCCCCTTCTTACTCATAGCTGTCATATGTCCGGATTCTCCACACCATCTTTAAGATGCCATCAGCAAAGGGCAAGAGAAAAATGTTCTCTGCCTGCTCATCTCATCTAGTGGTCACTCTGTTTTATGAATCTGGCATTGTGACCTACTTGAGACCCAAAGCCTTTTATTCAGGTAGCAGTAACAACCTGCTTTCTTTTTCTTACACACTGATGTCTCCAATGATGAACCCCTTGATTTACAGCTTGAGGAACAAAGAGGTGAAACAAGCCTTGAAAGACTGAGAGCCAAAAACATAAATATGTGACATGTTAATGAATTCTATTAAATTAAATCTGTCAGTAGCTTTGATATTGTGTGCGTTACTGGAAGGACAATATGACTTGCCATCACTTACCCAAAAATTCATATCTACCTTGCAGCTCTGAGTCAATCCTCCAGATAATTCCATCTTTCTTTTTTTTTTTTTTTTTAGAGCTATTTTTCATATCTTTTTTCATGTCATTTTAAGGTAGATTTGGCATACAGATCAAGTGAATTGCATGCTACCATAGCCCATGTCCTGTCCATCCATACAGAATTAGTTCGGTACTTTGCAGATATATTTACCTGTGGTAAGATGAAACTCACAATATTCTCTGAATATTGTGAACATGTTTCTATGGAGCTTATCTAAAATTAATTACACAGTGATGAGTGCAAGAAATTATCAGAGAAGAGGACAACGGATCTAATGAGAAGCACTCCAGAACTAAGACATTAGTGTTCTGGTGGGTTCTGATGAAGGTATTTCCCAGATAAGCTCTTCAGCTCTATTCTGTGAAGAAAGCTTCTCTGAAGGCCTGAAGGGGTAATGATGAGCTTGACTTCAAATATCTTGAACCTAAGGAACTATGGCTGGGCTGATAACTCTATTCTCCACTGATACAGAATGGAGTGAAATAGATAAAGTAAAAACACAGTTTATGTGTTCTAAACTAGATTTCTGCTGCAATAAGAGACAAACTATCACTTAGACATCTCCATTGCTGTATATTGTTTGTGTGTGAAGTCAAAATGATAAGTTTATGTAAATATATCTGTATCTTAGGCTTCTGAGTTGAGAGCAGAAGAAAATAATGTCCCTTTTTGTGCAAGTAAAAGGTTGATTTTGGGATGAAATAAACTATTTGAGTGTTAAGAAAATGAGTGGTCATAAGGAAATAGGTTTGAGACCTGTAATTTTAAAAGGAAGGTTAAAACTTCATTTATTTTTCCTTTTTTGCTCTGGTTGTAGTATGTACCCATCCAGAGGATTAATGGGATCGTAGTTTACCTCTTCACTCTTCTCATTTTCTTTGCTAAGCTAAGACAGTGGATGTGAAATTAGTCATTAACATGGGACAAGAGTAGGAGGGTGTCTTGCACCAAGAATTGCTAGGTCGCTATGATCCTAATAATGTTACAAATATTTTGATAAAATAATCAAGATTTGAAGTACAAAGTTGTAAAACGTAATGTATAAGTTAGGATTGTTAAGTTTGAAATAGGTAACTATAGGATTGTTAAGCTTGAAATAGGTAACCATAGGATTGTTATGTTTAAAATAGGCAACCATAGAAATCTCACCAGGTAGTTACTGGATATGTCTGTGTTTTGTTTTACATAACTAAGGAGACCGGCATAGACACCAGATATGTTGCTTGGATATCCCCTTACCCTTCCTATCTTGATTTGAATATCAAGGATCTTAATCAATAGAGTTAAGTACAACTGACCAATGATTGTTTTAGAATAAGAATATTGATAAGGTTATATAAATAATGAAACCAATCATTGTAAAGGTTAAATTTAAGAACAAGCATATTATGCATTTTTACATAAAAGAACTTAGGTAACAATGACTCGACAGAAAAAGTGCACAGAAACTGTTGGAATTTGATGCTAAGGTGGACATGATAGGCGGAGCTATCCCCTGTGTCCCCAGCGCTGCAATAAAGGAGTGTCTGCTTCTTAATACTACATTGGTGTTAAGAGGTTTTATACCTGATTTGGGTAACAATAAGACAGACATACATACAGTGTCAAGTATCATTAAAAAAGCTATTTATTAGAGTTAATATTATAAAGGAGAGGATAGTGTAGCTAAAGCTGCATCACTTCAGATACTGGGAACCCCAAGCTGTGAAGCATCAAATGGGTCTCTGATCAACATGCAGCCTGCCAGGTACATCCTGTCAATGGAAGTTGTTATAAATTGCGGTCCAATAACTGAAATGGAACCAGTCCGATTATTTAAATTAATTTATTGAGCAAGCAGCAGTAAGCAAAACAGCGCTGGGCGGCCGGGGAGTTTCCGCTCTACCAACGGCGCGCACAGAATGGAGAAGGGTTCCCTTATTTATACAAGCTCTTGTTCCTGTATCCGTGTTGGCTGGTATCATTTGCGTTGTGTGTGCGCCTGCGCCGGCAGTTGCTAGGTGGTCGTAATCTGCCTTCTGGGGGTCGCTGGGATGAAGGCCGAAGTCTTCCTCAGCTGCCCTTTAGGTATCCTAGGTCCCACTCATGCTCTTGTGAAACCGCCTTTCTTTAGCCGTTACTCAGTTGTTTATTCTACCGGATATTTGACTGTCCCTATGCCCACATGTCTTTAGATAACTAAAGAATG